TTCGCTATATTTGTTCTGGTCTCTCGCAAACGATTCCTGGCATTAAAATTCAACGCAAGCTGCATGCATGATAAGGGGCGATCAGCATCCGCCGGTTCAGCATCGCGCGCGTAAAACTTCTACCGGAGAAATTTCGAATATCCTGCTTCATCTACGCGGTAGGGGAAAAAATGGGGGAAGACGAGAAGAGGAGTTCATTCGCGAAAGTTTTCTCATTGTCTCAGAGCGCGGGAAAGTTTCGTTGCAATTCCGGGAAGATAAGTATCGACAGCTCGTCGTGGCTCGACGTTTTACTCGCATTTACCATCCGGCTTCATTTGCAACGAGCTTTTAACGTTAATTATGTCCTTCCTACCGGAACGGGGAAACGTTTAAGATAAGGAAAACAACGACGCCAGCAGTCGCGGGCTTCAATAAATGTTCCTACGTTTTTAACATTTTCTTAACCGGTTCGTTAAAAAAAATACGCGCTATTGCATTTCGCAGGTGCCGCGATGCATCAGCGAGAAATTATGCGCTCGGATTATAGAGTTCGTTAAACATTGAAAATTTTCCTTTCTTTCTTAACGATGCTATCGTTTTATCGCAAGAAACAACTTGTTACAGGAAATAAAATCTTGCGAATCGCGCGGATTCCTCGAACGGAAAGAATGCGTGTACCTGTCTGTTCGAGGATATAATCTGTGTGTACCGTTATCATACCGCGCTTATCGAGAGCTTTAAAAAGCAATTATCCGCGATGGAAAGGTTTAAACCAATTACTGATTTCGATCTTACAGGTCGATCGTTCTTATTCCATGTGTAAGTTATTATAGTAGATAAATCGTGATTCTAAAATATTTTACAATTCACAAAAATTTAAGTGAAATACAGTAGGCTCTTGTTACATTGTCACGGTTGAAATAGCAGCAAATAGTTGTTGGAACTAATAAGTTTAATATTCCGGCCATATAATGCATGTTCATCTGACGGGTGCATAGTGATACAACACGTGGTGATATAACGTGTAATTTTAACATGTAGTGATATATGTGTTGATACTATGCGTGATAATTCTGACGTTCCACATCATAAAGCGCAGTACTACCACGCGTGGCGATATAACGCGAAGTAACGCATATAGTAATCTTAGCGCGTTGTAATACAAGGAATGGCTATATAACGCGTGGTAATACAGTGCGATAACTCGACGTGTAGCAATCTTAACGCGAGGCGATGTAACGCATTGTGATGTAGCGTGTGGCGATATAGTGCGTGGTGATATAGAGCGCGGTAACTCGATGCGTAGCAATCTTAACGCATGGTGATATAAATTATGGCGATACGACGCGTGGTAATATAACGCGTGGTGATATAATGCGTGGTAGTATAACGCGTGGTAGTGTAACGCGTGGCGATATAACGCGTGGTAGTATAACGCGTGGTAGTATAATGCGTGGTGATATAACGCGTGGTAATATAACGCGTGGTGATATAACGCGTGATGATATAACGCGTGGTAGTATCATGCGTGGTGATATAACGCGTGGTAGTATAACGCGTGGTATTATAACGCGTGGTAATATAACGCGTGGTGATATAACGCGTGGTGATATAACGCGTGGTAGTATCATGCGTGGTGATATAACGCGTGGTAGTATAACGCGTGGTAGTATAATGCGTGGTGATATAACGCGTGGTAATATAACGCGTGGTGATATAACGCGTGGTAATATAACGCGTGGTGATATAACGCGTGGTAATATAACGCGTGGTGATATAACGCGTGGTAATATAACGCGTGGTGATATAACGCGTGGTAATATAACGCGTGGTGATATAACGCGTGGTAATATAACGCGTGGTGATATAACGCGTGGTAATATAACGCGTGGT